TATAGTAATTTATATATAGAACTGCGTCATGTTTCACTATGATCATTCTTCAGTTGACTGGAGAATCGTCAATTAAATAAGTAATCTTCTAGTTAGATTACAGATATAGTATATAGTATAAAATTTTCAGACAAATTACTTAAATAGGCAACCAAAAATTGCATATATGACTAAATATACTTTTATTAACCAAAAATATATTACTAAAACCTAATAAAAATTCATCTTCATGCACATTGCAAAGATTAAAAAAAATATATATACTGTATATTATTAAAATTTTTTATTTTTTTTTTGGTTTTAAGGTGACCTCTTGATCGCTATTCTTTTATTCGATTATTGTTAACTTTTACAGTATGATATATACTATACCGTATATATATTTGCAGAATACAACTAGCCACATTTACAACTTTTGGTTGCCTATTTAAATAGACACCTATTACTAAGTCCTACACTAGCTACCGTACCTATAACCCTACCGAGTTAATCATTTAAACCCTCTGCGTCTATGTACATTAATCCTCTAACCGAGCGAGAGTACATTAATACCTCCTTATTTCAGATCTCTGACTTAGGACTTTAAGACAGACCCACCTATAGGGTCCTTTGTCCTCAAGATAAACCTGCTAGAGCTTTCCATATCTACAATCTGGCTAACTTAGACTTCAGTAACTTACACTGAGTTCGAGAACAAGTACTTGTAAGCCAAAGCCGCTACTATTATCTACTTCTGCCCTTATAAAGTTCATTCAGACGCCAGCACACACTTTACAGACAATCACCACTGTTCCTGGTTACCAACTGCACTCCAAACTTCCAATTTAGATAACCTGGGAGAGACTAATAGGCATCTCTTGGTATTCTGATTGAATCCTTTTTTCTCATATTACACGCAGCTTGGTTGGTATTAGTGTTTGCCAAACATCTGGTCCTCATCTGGTTTGCTATTGGTGTTTGATTGCTAATAATGATCCTTTACATAATACCGTCAAAAGTCTGTGCTACCTCTCTACTCAGGACTTGCCAAGTGGGCTTCTGTGTACCTGATCCCCTGAATTTACATGATGCATTACTCATTTCATGTGACTCATATGTAATACTACTGTTCTGCAATCCTCCTAGTACAAGCTGATATGACCAAGGTTACAGGTGCCAACCCATCAGATTATACACAGTTTACTGTAACATATTTCTTAAATTTGAATTTTATTACCAGTGGGATTTGAACTCTTGACCTGCCACTTGGGGGTGCAACAATTTACCAACTATACTAAATTAACACACTCTTATATTATTAAAATTTAAAAAAATATAGATTATAAGTATATTTATAAAAATTTTCCAGGCAAATTTGTCTGAAAAAGCCTACAAATTAAAAGATAATAAATATACTGTATAAAATATATAATAAAATTTAAGAAAAATAACAAAAATATAAAAAAATAATTAATAAAAATAAAAATATAATATATATAAATTTAACTAATAAATTTTGACTATATTACAATATATATAATAGCTTGAAAATTGGTTAAACAAACATAAGATTAATATATAAAAAATGTTTTTAAACAGCACACTTAATATAATTAACTAGTGATTGAAATAGTACTTAATCATTGTATATATAGCAATATTTAATTAGATCATAATTAGATAATATATAATATGAATTATGCTTACGTAACTCTCAATGTAATTAATTTATAATCGTGTTTATGCTCGAATATTAAGATTAATTAAATTAATTTAAGGTGGCTGAAGCTAAAATTGGCTAAAACTGAAATCTGAATCTATTTTTATGCGAGTATTTTTTTTTTGCCTTTTTTTTAGAGTTGGGTTAGGGTTAATAGAGCTTATATTTTCAGATCGAGACCTCCAAATTTCAGCATCACCCCCCACAATTGATACTTGAGCAAACATATTATTACCATTTAGTGATTATGGTTTTGCAAATCAAAATAATAATGATAAAGTTCGTTATAACCAAAGTTGACTAATATTTAAGATCAGGTGACTATATATTATAGGACTACATACATATCTTTGGTTGAAGACGGAAATATGATACTTTCAAACACCTTCGCTGGCAAATAATTAAAAAAAAATTAGGTTTATCAGTTTAAAAAAATTGACAAATCGGTTTATTAAACACAAACGATATAAAATATGCTTAACATTAGCACTTATTCGTGTAATATGTTATATAAAAATTTATTTTATATTTGGAACCGTTTTTATATTTCTTGTCAAGATTTATTAGCTGACAAGAACGCAAATACTAAACACATCAACATGTCAGATAAGCATTCAAACGAAAAAAATTTGACAATATTGATATTATTGTTATAACGATCTGCCAAACAATCATTAATAATACAAAAATAACTTTTATTATATCAGCCGAAAAATTATTCGAAAACAGTTGTAAATAATGTGCCAGCTTAAGCTAACTTACTTGAGCCAACTTATTTGAGCTGACTTGAGTTGGCTTTTTGAGCTTGCTTAAGCCGATCCCATCCCTAATTTAAACTATAAAGAAAATATTAAAAGGTTTCGTCATCATATTCTGTTTCTTGTACAGCACCTTCAGGAGGGACTTCAAAGCCATCCTGAAATTTTGGAAAAATGAATATTCAATAAGTCGCGCAAAAAAAGGTTGAAGTTATAGTAGTATCAATCGTTAGCATACCTCCGTACTATAAAGAATAGACTGAATATCCTTCAATAATTGATTGTCAGGTTCACTATCGATTCGCTGTTGGACTAAGATTTCGATATCACGAAGTTTACCGAAATAAAAATCACGTTCTTTTTCGAGGCCATCTATAGTTTGTTTAAGTTCTAGATTTTCCTTATTCAATTCATTCACAATTGAAGTTTGGCTGTTGTCATGTAGGCCTGAGGTTGGAACACGACCTTTGTAAATTGAACCAGCAAGATGTAGCAAAAAAGGAAATAAATCAGTAACGAGTCAATATAAGAGTGCTGAAATGTAAAATTAGTGTAGCCTACCACCAGCTGAAGCAGTGGGCGTTGTTCTTTTTGGCATTGTTCGGACGATGCCACCACCAGAAACCGCTTTCACAGGTCCGGCAGCAGTACTACGTCTTGCAACAGCGTCATATGGTCCACCGGGATAGTAAGTATCCCAATACCTCTTCATCCATTGCAAAAATTCAAGATTATCTTGAAATTTGCATTTGACAAGACGCTCAACTGGAATAGTCTAAAATGGAGTGTCATGATTACATAATCGGAACAAAGTCAAAATCTAATTTTTCAAATATTCAGTCCATTTTTTAATCGCCGAAAGATAAAATTATACATACTTTATCAACCTTGTGTTTGTCAAAAGCCGTTTGCAACACTTTGTAGTTAGCAACGTATTCGTATTCATGTTTTGCTCCGAACTTGACTTTGTTCATCTGTACATCGCCTATATAAGTAAGTCGAGTTAAATCAACTGGATAATAAAAGTTTCGAGATCTAAGAACTTACCGTATACAGAGTCAATAATTTGGGAATAGGCGGCACCTGTCATAAAGATAATAAATGTCGTTAAAAAGGTTTAAAGCCAGCCTAGGGTTTAAAAATCTCTAGAGCGGCGAAAAAAGCCTCTTAGCAAAACACGACGTAAACGCGAATCGTTTTTCTTACCCGTTCCACATTGCTCAACTTTTGTATAGTTGATTTGTAGCAAGTCGTTTAGCCACGCGAGTAGTTCAGTTCGTGATTCGCTCATAGTTTATAACAGGATCAGTTAGGTAATTGAGATGAAAAAGAAAAAAAATTAACGAAGGAGATAGGTGAAGTAGTTTATGGATTTATGGTCAACTCTGCAGACACTTTTATTGATTTATATGCTGTGTCACAAAAAATTTAGACAATATCAAACCAGTTAGAAAAAAACTATTCAGGAAGACACCCTTAATGCATGCCAGATTTATCATCGTTAATATTTACGCACATAGTGAGTGTCCTTCTTCCCTTCTTCACCAATGAAATTGTTGCAAATGATACTCTTTCAAAACACAGGAAAAAAGATCACATGATTAGAATGTATGTAATTCGTTCACGTCTTCTGAACAAGTAGCGATTTTTTGCTACGTATCTATACAAGCTATAATCTGGAATACATAATTGATTTTTAGTTGACCATTGACCCTCACACTAAAGCTAGAAACTGATTAATCTTAAAGCAGTTACATATTACATCATTATTATTCATGCATGTGAATAATAATTTTTTATTAAATATGTATACATATACATGTTATAAACAGTATATATTCTTTAGTTTTGTAATATGTATGCCTATGTTTTAAAAAAGAAAATTTCTAAAAATACCCATAGGGTATGGTACCGAAATGAGAAAAAATTATGCTATATATTAGGTTAGGGTAAGTTAAAATAGAGAGTATTTGTGCGTATGTAAAATTAAGTGCTAAACATTTTTATTTAAGACTAGAGCTTCGATTCTATTTATTCGGATTGAATTGAATTTGATCTTAACGTATATAATTCGAATCTGAGTAAATCCGAATTAAAGTAATCCGAATTGACCTTGACTCATTATTTCGTTTTACTTAAAAGATTTTAAAATGCAGATAGAATGTTAGCCCATTTTTTCAATTTAAATTCAATAATTTATGTATTTAGAGCAAAGCAGAGGATGGGTAAGAAAGATTTCAAATAGGTTTTAAATGAACATTACTTTTTGATTATAACAATACTTTCCAAAAACCATGAAATTGATTAATATATTCAGATTTCAGTTTAAGCAGAGATACTTATTGCCAAAAGAAACCCCGAAAATCTTTTTTTGAACGATAGAACGCGAGATTTTAAAAATCTGGATGTAATTTAAAAAAAAAACTGGTCATTCTCGTCGCTTCGATTTATAATAATAAATTATTAAATGTGAAGATTATAGTAAAAATATTATTAAACAGTGATTGGTATTAAATTACATAGCGATAGTACTTCTGATTTATTAATTTTGCAACCGAAATAACAAGAATAATCGATTGGAATATTCTTTCTAATCACATGTAAAATTTTGAAAGCCCGTGTTTTGTTATACAAAAAATAACTTTTTATGGTTTTTTTTTGGCAACACATATGAGTAGATCATTTCAAACCAAGAATCTAGAACTTTCTTAACTAACAAATGTAATAGAGAATATTAGTAATACTAGGAATCGGAAACCGATATAAGTCCGGAGCATTATATTTTAAATAAACTATTATATTCTTAAAAAATACTTT